GTATCTATAAAACAAGAACAGGCTGTTATTAAAAAGGAGAAATCCAAGAACATGAGAGTTTTGGAATAATTGCATAAATTTTCAAAAATTCAGTAGGAGACTGGATAATAGAATTGGAATAAACATGAAGATTGAATTTTTTTTTTTTTTAAGAGACATGGTTTTGCTCTGTCACCCAGGCTGGAGTGCAGTGGTGTGGTGTGATCATAGTTCACTGCAGCTTCAAACTTCTGGGCTCAAGTGACCCACCTCAGACTCCTATGTAGCTGGGACTACAGGTGTACACCACTGCACTTGGATAATTTAAAAAATTTCTTTTGTAGAGAGTCTTGCTATGTTGCCCAGGCTGGTCTCAAACTCTGGGCCTCAAGTGATTTTCCTGCCTTGGCCTCCCAAAGTGCTGGGATTATAGGCATGAGCCAGTGTGCTTGGCCAAGACTGATCTATAAATGTAAAAGAAAAAGTTAATGAAATTCTCTAAGACACAAAACAAAAGGACAAAAAGATAGATAAAGTTAAAATAAAGTTAAAAAACATGGAAGAGAGTCCCAGGAGTTGCAACATCAATCTAAAAGGAGCTTCAGAAAGATACACCAGAGAAACTAAAGGAGAAAAATAATAATTAGAGAAACACAAGCAGAAAGTGTTTCCTGAACTTAAAAAAAAAAAAAAAGAATATTTAGATTGAAAAGGCCCACCAAGTACCAAGCTGGAAAAATCTCTCTCTCTCTCTCCTTCTCTCTCCCTCTCTCTCTCTCACACACATACAGAAGAGCAGAATGGCCAGGAAAAGTGGATACTAGGGTAGAAACTCCACCTGGCAGTTGGATGTATGGAGTTGAGGCCCTGGGTAGTAGTCAGGGCTGGAGAGAGATGTGAGAATCATCAAAGGACCTTTGGAGAGGGGGGAGAAGAGCAGGCAGAGGAGAGAACAGAAAAGGGGGGAGCTGAGGGGGCGACCCAGGAAGGGCAGGTAAAACAGCTGGAACATTTCCCCCTTGTCACAGGAGTTTTCTTAGCTGCTGTTTTCCAGGGAGAATCAATTTAACCTCATTTCTATCCCTTGCCACGCTGGGCTCCCATGAGCGGAACGGACCTCTCCTTCAAAGCATAATCTACCTGCCTGGGAGATGGGTTTGTGGCTGACAAGGGTGAAAATTGCTGAGAGGATTGGGATGGTGGTTCCACTACTCAAATTAGCCCATTTTCAGGTGGAAATCAAATCTTTATTCTCCCCCAAAAAACCTGTCTCTCCCCTGAAGCAGCTCATTCCCAACCATTTAGAAGCAAACAGCGCATCTAATGGGAGAAGATAACATACCTAACCGAGGGGTATAGCTCTCACTCTCTGCTTGGTTTGCTTGGCAGGGGTTGGGAGGTGGGAGGTGGCAGCTGCAGGGAGGAAGGAGAAGAGAGAATAAGCGAGGAAGTAAGAGACATGAGGACTTGGTACAAAGAGCAGGGATGAGGATCAGTCTTCATTGTCCCCTGGCTTGTGGCAGAGGGGACCTTGACTCATACAGGATGCTAACTGAGCCCCTGAGAAGGGAAGGGGATTGGGAAATGCAGAAGAAGCTTTAGAGAACCGTGATGTTTCTTTTCCCTAAAGTGAGGGCTGTTCCCTCTGCTCCTTTCTCCCTGGAGTGGCGTACTTAGGGGCTGGAAGTCTCTCTAGGATGCCAGGTGAATTGGGTTTTGAACTTGAAGGTAACTATAATAATAACATGCAGATGTCTCCAGATATTGTTTTCCTCTGCCATTTCCTATGTGTTACATAAGGGAAGGGACCTGCATGTGTGTATTTCAATGTTTTTTTTTTTTTGAGACAGAGTCTCACTTTGTTGCCTAGGCTAGAGTGAGTGCCATGGCATCAGCCTAGCTCACAGCAACCTCAAACTCCTGGCTCAAGCAATCCTCCTGCCTCAGCCTCCCGAGTAGCTGGGACTACAGGCATGAGCCACCATGCCTGGCTAATTTTTTCTATATATATTAGTTGGCCAATTAATTTCTTTCTGTTTATAGTAGAGACGGGGTCTCGCTCTTGCTCAGGCTGGTTTCGAACTCCTGACCTCGAGCAATCCGCCCGCCTCGGCCTCCCAGAGAGCTAGGATTACAGGCGTGAGCCACCGCGCCCGGCTATTTCAATGTTTTAATCTCTCTCTTACACACACGCACCCACCCCATTTCTTAATGAACATGTTGCATTTATTCTTCCTTTTCCTCAGCTTCCCATACCCTGGCCCCAGATAACTAAAATCACCCAATCATGTACCAGGGTTGACTCATTTCTTCCCTTTGAGGCCTTGCAGAGGGGCCCAGAGTAGAAACCTAAGCAAGGAGGGGGCAATAGAGGAACCCAGGGAGTAGCCACGGGGTAGTCTTCCCATCTTCCCTGGTTGGGAGAAGAGCCAGATGTTATCTGCCTGGGTGACCACAGATGCCTTGCACTCTGACAGCTCTGGCAGGGTGGAGTGTCCACCCAGACAGCTGCAGAAGGAGGGCTAGTGTATTGTTCTCATCCCAGTAGCAGGCCAGCTCCCCCACAGTCCACTCTTGCAGAAAATAAAGCACCTCTCTTTGCTTGCAGTTGCTGCTGCCGCCGCCACTTTGTTATGAGGGTTAGTGACTGTCCATTAACTCCAGAGAGCTGATTCTTGCCAGCGCTGCACCAACAGCTGGGAGCCAGAAAGCGCTGACGTGGGGTGGGCAGACTGGTCCCCCACACTGGCCGGGCACTCACAGAGTAAATCGAAGAGGTCACTGGCATGGCTTACTCAGCTCTACCGAAATGCCAATTAGCTAAGGTTTTTCTGAGCATTGGCTGGGCCTGCCACAGTTGAGGGGAATTATTATCACGGAGCTCATTTTGTTTTATAAATATGTATATAAAACTCTCAACAGGGAGAGACATTTCCTGCCTGTCCCCTCTTCTAATCTTCCTAGGAGGGAATTCCCAGCCAGGCAGGGTCCCTGGTAGATGGCCAAGCATGGGGTCCCTGGCCCTTGGCTACTCATAAGGGATGTTGGGGGTGGTGGCGGTGGTGGGGAGGGGGTGTTCCTGGGCTCTTGGCTTAGAGGCAGGAGCTCTCTCAGCTCAGTCCCTCTGTCTGTACTTGTGGCTTTCCCAGAGAAATAAGGAAGACAAGGGGTTCTTATGAAAACACCAGAAATATAAATGACTATTTCTGGTTCCTATTTCTCCCTTCCATTCATAAAATCCAGGTCATCACTGACAGGTCACCAACTTACTCTTCAAACCAGGTTAATGAAGTTGGTATTGTGTATTCAAGGTGAACCAAGCAGTTTGTGCATTCAGGACAGTCTCCGAGAGCCCCGCAGAACATCGGGTCCCCACATCTTCTAACTCATCTAGTCCAACTCTCTCATTTTACAGATGAGAAAGCTGATGCCCAGGGAGGGCAAAGGACCTGTCTGAGACAGTCAGTGGCAGATCTGGGACCAGAACACAGGGCTTCTGACTCCCAGTCAAATGTTTTTATTCTGATACATTTTAACCCTTCTTTCTCTTATTTTATACCCAATTACTGAGTCCTTACTATCTTCCAGATGCTGAGGGGAAGGGGGTTGTGGAAGGAGGCAAAGAGATAAAAACAACACAATCCCTGCCTTCAAGGAGCTGTTTGCCTAGATCTGTAATTCTTTGGGGGGGGGCTGTGACTCACACTCTCACCTTATATTATCTTCTATAGGTGCTGATGGAGAGGAGAAGTGAGGACGGAACGCCTTTTGTCTCCTTAAGATTTATAAGTTGGGCCTTATTGATTCTGGGACCCTGGGAAGGCCTGGGGCAAAGGGATCCACTGCCAGGCTGGGAGAAGAGGATGTAGGGGTGACAATGATCAGGTCACTGCTAGCAGACCTGGCTAGGGGATGGGAACAGTGACAGCAGCTCACACTGGTACGGAGATGTGCAGTTGACAAGCCTCTGGTTAGGTATATTGTTTCACTGAGTCCCAAGGCAGTTCTCTGAGGTGAGCAGGGCAGCTGCCTTCTCCCCATTTAGGGGCGAGGAGAATGAGGTTCAGAGAGCTCAGGTAACTGGTCAAAGCCAGTGAGTGCCAGTGCCCAGCCAGGAACTCCTAGTCTAGTGCTCTTTCCCCATGGGAGGTGGGGAAGTTGGGTTGGAGGGTGGGGATAAAGCAGTATAAAGCAGTGGTCAGCCTCAGAGATAGGCCAAGTTCTCTACGCAGTTTTATTTGATTGCTACATTCTGCCAGGCACAGAACTCTGCTCTGAAGAACTGGAAGCACTTTGCAGGCCTGAATGAGCTCATTCAGCACGCCCTTGCCAGAAAGAGAGAGAACTCCAAATGCAGGCTCTGTCTAGGGTCACCAGCATGTAATAGAAAACGGGACCCAGGGAACAGCACTCATGCACCAAGCAATGAAATGCAAATCTGGCCTTTTTCCATGAGAGTCAAGAGTGCCACTGGGGTGAGGGGTGGGAGGAAATTGAGATATCTTCCAGTACCTCCTTCCTTTCCGGAAGAAATGGGTTAACCAGTCCTAAGGGGCCTGGCCCACCCCTTGGCCCAATGGCCATTTCCAGGGGAAAGAAATCTCAGAGTTGGGGGACCATAGCCACCCAGGTCACCCTGCTGAGCAGGTTTGGGTGGGAGAATAGGGCAGCTTAGTGAAGCCCGCTCAGATTTTGCTAGTGTTGCAGAACCTTGGTGGGATCAGGGTCCAAGGGAGTCTGGGAGACTCTAATCAGTGTTCCTTGCAGCCACAGGCAGGGTATCTCAGAGCTGCCTGAGTTCAGGGTCAAGGCCTGTTGGTGTGAGGCAACTGTGCCCAGGTGCCTGTCTTGACCTCAGTCCCTCAGGCCCCTCCCTGCATGCCCAACCTGCAGGTTGACAAGGTGCAGCCAGTAGAGAGTCAGAGACCCCTTCCCTGAGAGGACTCCGGTTGTCCTCCCCAGCTTACTCCCGCTCCGCGCCCAGCTCTGCGCTCCCGCTGCGCCCCCAGACGGCCCCTTACCTGTCCCGCCGCGGACGGTCCCGCTTCCTCCACGGGGATCGGGGGCTCGGCATGGGCCGGTGAGCGACGGCGCCCCCGCCTCGCGGCCGCGTTGAAGTCCCCCCGGTGTCCCCTGCTCCGGCCCCGCGTCCCCGCCGCCGCCGCTTCAGCACCGCGGACAGCTCCCGCCCGCAGCCGGCCGCCGCCGCCCGCCCCGCCCCGCGCGGTCCCGGGAGCCCCGCATCCTGGCCGGGCCCCGCCGCCACCACGTAGGGCTCAGCCCGGCCGAGGCGGCTCCGCGCCGACTTGGGAGAACAGCGAGGAGGGTCCCCTCCTCCCAGCCTCCCGCCGCCGCCGCCTCCCTCTCGCCTCCGTGCTCCCTTCCACGCTCGGGAATCAGCCCACCAGGCGCTCCGGACCCAGCTTCGGGGCGGGGCGGGGCGGGGCGGGAAGTCGGGGGAGCCCGGGGGAGGCGGCGGAGCTCCGGGGCGCGCAGCTGGAACCCGCGTCGCTGATGCCTAGAGCCCAGCCCTTTCGCCCAGCCCTGCTCCCCTGCCCTCCTCCCGCGCACCCCCAGAAGCGATGGGCGGCCCTTGGGCTTCCTGAAGCATTTGGGGGCTCCCAGTCCTGAGTTTTAATATTGATCTGCCCCCAAAAGAAAAACAAACGAAATTTGTTGAGCACCTACTATAGCCATATACCATGCCAAATAATGTGTTCAAGCACCACCACCACATCTAATTTTCTGACAACTCTATTAGGCAATATCCGCCCTCCCTTCCATTTTGCAGATGAGGACGCTGGGCTCACAGAAATGAAATCTCTCTATTTGGAGGTAACGGCGCCGTGCCAGGAAGTGCACAGGCTTTAAAGCCCAGGGGCCTACGTCTTGGTCCCTGTGTCCCACTTACTGTGTATAACATTGAGCGATACTTAAGATCTCAAAGACTCAGGTTTCTCATGGGCAAAATGAGGGAGCTGTATCCATCCGTGAGAGGTCATATGAGGACAAAATGAGATGACATATGTGGCACATTGGCACCCAATAGCCCTCATTGGGTGAGAAGGCCACTCACTGCTCTCAGCTGGGGACCTGAGATCTAAGGCAAGGCTTCCGGTATCTCCCCACTGTGCTGCCTACCTTATGTGACCTCGCCTCAGTTTGCTTTAATTTTTAAGCATCGGGATGCCCTGATCTTGGGTCTTGTGAGTGGGTGAGGCCATTCTTCAAGCTCCCCCAGCCCTCACCCCAGGTCTTGAGTCTTACCCCAGTCCCAGGAGTTGGGAGGAGAGAGTACTCTCATTTTCTGAAGATAAGTGGGGGCCTGCAAAGTAAACCCTGGTGCAGGCTTGGGGCTGGAAGGCAGGAGGAACCGAGCTCTGGCAGTGGGCTTCCACCCTCCCCCACCCAAGGATGTCATAGCACATGGAATGGTGGGAGCCAGGACCCCCTCACTCCCGCAGGACATGGGTCATTGGAACAGTCCTGTGTAGCTCCCAGTGTGCGAGCATGGTAGGAAGTGGGAGCAAGACCCCAGCATGGGGCTGGGTCTTCCCTTTGAGGCTAGGCAGAGAACTCCTTCAGCCTGTGGTCTGTCTCAGGGCTGGCATTGATGTTTAACTGGTTGAGTGTTAAATATATTCTTGTTCTTCCTGCCCTTGACCCACTAGAGTCTAGGACTCTCGGGGCTAGGAAGGCTCTTGGAACACTCCTCTGGGGCCCATTCAGCATCTGCACAGACACCCTCCTCGCCAGCACACACACCCTCACACACCCACCAGACATTGTCCCTTGAGTTGGTGTGCCCTCCTGCACCTTTGCTTCCCTATGGCCCTCCTGCTCACAGGGGCTCAAAGCCCTCTACTTAGCCTTGTCCTCCCTCTGCATCTCCCCTCCCCACCCTGGCTTTGCTCCATGCCTGGGCTGCATACCGAATTACTAATTGAAAGGATAATAAAAAAGCCAGTGAAGCAAAAGCCGCATATAAATTCCAGATACTAATGTTGATAATTATATGCTGCTGCCTGGAGGGAAAACTCAAAGAGAGGCCATTGGTGTTGTGTCAAGGGCCTTGGCCTAGTGCCAGCAGACCCAGGTTCTAATCTTGCTTTTGTCATTAATTGGCTGTGCGATCTTAGGCAGTGGCCTAATCTTCCTGGGCCTTTGCTTCCTTAGTATTCTAAGCCCCTTCAGTAGCTCTGAAGAAATTGTAAGTGCAGTCAGCAGTATATGACATTTGTGACAGAGAAAAGTGAGTAATACAATGATAAGCATTTCTTTTAAGGTAACTACCTTTTACCCCTCACAAGGTGGCTCAGGAAATGAAGAATCTATAACTATGCAAACTTTCCATTCCAGTTTCTATTCCCTCTCTTTATCCTTCGTTCCTTTCTCCAGCAAGCATTTCCTGCTATGTAGTGAGGGTCAACCCCACTGCTAGACACCAAGAATGCAAGCCATTGCCCAGGTCTTTGTAGGAGCTGCAGTGAAGAGTGGTGGGGTGGATAGACATGAGGGCCAGCAACTCCAGCTCGTTGGGATAAATGCTGTCATGAAGTAGGTGAACTGTGCCAGAGGGGGAAACCACTAGCCCCACCTGGGGAAGTCCCAGGAGGCTTCCCAGAAGAGGTGACATTTGGGCTGAGTTTTGTTAAAGAATGAGATGTTCCCCAGGCAGGCCAGGGGAGGTGGGAATTCTGGGTAGGAAACCCAGAGTGAAGAGAGGAGATTGGAGGAGGTGAGGAAGCTACAGCAGAGACAAGGAAAGAGATGGTAAGAACTTGAAAAAGGCAGAGTTGGCAGGATGGGGAACAGGGAGTGGATTTGAGACACTTCTGGGTGAGAACAGAGAAGAGAAGCTAGTTGAGAAGGGGAGAAGGGGACGGGGCATCAAGGGTAATGTTGGGGCCTCCTGCTTCTGGAGAGCTGACGCTACCTGCCTGAGGGTGTCGGGAGGGGAGCAAGGGCTGCCCACCCCGGGGAATGCTGCTGAGCGCCTAAGCCCTCAGTTTCTAGGAGCTCTCTTTTCTAATTTCATTCTCCCTTTGGTTCCTAGGAAATTTTCTTAAGTCCAAAGACCCCCTCCCATCTTATCTGGATTATCTTAATGGAAAAGGGAAAGGTCCAGGCTTGGCCCAGGAGATGTGAGTGGGGCAGAGCAGCCCTGAAAACTCACCTGGACGAGGCAGCACTGGGACCAGAGTGAGCTCCATAGATAAGGGACAGAGTAGGCACAGGGTGAAAACCTAGGAGGAGATGTCTTCAATCCTGTTCTCCTCCCACCTCTCTGACATTCCCCAAGCAAAATCCAACATGGGTGGGTTCTGTTTTTGTTGGAGTCAGCTTGGGCTGCTAATCTCTTTCCACCTGGGGACTTCCCTTCATAAGCTTTTTCATGCATAAAATCTAGTTCTTTTTACAAGGGGTTGATTGCCCCACAGTATTCCCTAGGGAATGTAAATCAGCATCAGGTGGAGGGAGATCAGCTTCACTCACTGCTTCAATAGGCTACACATTGGGAGAGAGGCTCCCCATTAGGGGGAAAGCAAGCCCCAGCTCTGGCTTAGAGATTCCTTATCTCTGAGTCAAGCTCATGGTCAAGGCCATACAGCTGTGACCCACAAAGCCCTTTGAAATGAGGGAGACAGTCAGGCAGAGGACAGGGACAGGTGAGTCTTTGGGATGCCCGAGGACATAGCTCCAGGATGACAGAGCTCCAAGGAGGGGTACATTTTGGGGATGTAAGCAAAGAGTGAGAACCAATTCTTAACTTCGGACCCAAGAGAGAACCCTGGAAACCCTTATTGCTTCTGAGTCGGGTCCTTTGGTTAGAGGCAGACAACCAGCAATGGAGTCAATAGTCTGTCTCTTAAACATCTCATTTGGGGGACTTTGGAAGTACATTACCACAGCTGCTCACTTCTTCTCTCCATAGGAGATTGCAAAAACTGAAGATGAAGCCATTTCTTTAGAAACACACTGATTCATGCCAGGGAAAGAAGATGAGGAGGGTTCTTAGCACCAGTCCTGCCCAATTCCCTATTCTCCTGCCAGACACAAGCATAACTCAAGCCTGGGGAGGGGAGAGTTACTGCAACTTTGAGAGGTAGAACCAGAGCATAAGGTGGAGGAAGACAGCAATTGCAGGCAACGCAGCTCAAAATCCAGCGTTAACTCTGGCGTGCAGAAGCTGAGGCATCCTCGGGGGCATGTGAGCATGGCTCACTGGCAGAGAAACCTGCGCTTTTGGCACTTCCCCACTTTGCTGGAGCAGGGATGTGTGAGTGTGTGCGCGTTAGGCTGTGGGGATCATCAGCAGTGGCAAGCAGACGGTGGCATCTTTCACCTGATGCGGCGACAATATGAAACTGAGTGGAAGCATAAGATTGCTTTATATTTGCCTTGCACACTACAGTTTTTGAAGCATCTGCTCAGCCATGACCTCATTTCATTCTCATAACCATGTATCACCCCCAGATAAGGAAAGCGAGGCCCAGAGAAGTTAAATAACTTCCAACTTGGAAAAAATAGTCAGAGGTCAATACTAAGCCAAAAGAAAAAGAAATGAAACTGATGCATGATCCCACCTTCTCCCTGCCCTTGAAGCCAGAGCCAGCTAGGTGGGGTCTGCAGAAGGAGGCCTTCTTTGCCTCCACCCTGAACTGGGACAGTACAAACTCCTACAGGGCCCTGACTGGAGCCCGCTGAACAGCTAAGACCCAGGACCCAGGACTGCTTCCATCTCTGTGCATGTGTGTATTTGTGTGGTGGTGGGGGGAGCGGGGGACAGGGGGAGAGGGAGAAAGAGAAGGGTAGGATGTGTTTGCCCCAGGAATGACTTTCTGAGTCTTTTCTGAAAGAAAAGACTTTTTCCCTCTGTGTAGAGAAAGACACTTCCCTTGTCCCTTCCTGCTGCGTGTGTGTGTGTGTATCCGATGGGCAGATGACAGAAATGACCCTTCTTTCCTCTCCAGATCAGCGTCTGGGGAGGCAAAAGGGTTACTGGCACTAAGAAAACATTCCTAGAGAAGGTGGAGAACTTTTTATACTCTTCAGCTCAGGACATGAAGAAGAGAGTCCATTCTGTGTGCTTATTCTGTCTCAAACGCTTTTATCTTTTAATCCTCAAAACAATTCAATTAGGTTGTTTTG